TTTTTCCCTTCATTTTCCTTTGTATTTTTTTTTTCTCTTTTACTGGCTGTCTTGTTTTCAGCCAGTGTTTTCTCACTCGCTTTGCTTTTTTTCAGCCTCACATTCTCCATCACTTTCAGTCTCAGACTCCTGCAGAAATGGGTGTACCTGTAAACTGGAGTGCTGATCGGCAAGTTAAGATCAGAGTCAGTTGTGTAAGCAGTATCGCATAACAGCATCTGTCTGTGTTTATGTGAAAGACATCCCTCCAGACCATATTAATGAAGTAAAAATGTGGCAATGGGAAAAATAAAACTCTTAATCAAGCACCATTTTGTGATATCCCTCACATTCAGAAATATTCCCATCCATATGCAAATTATAGTCTCCTGGGTTTAGGGTTTCCAAGTTCAGATATTAATTTGCACATTTTAATATGCAATTTGATGCAAATTGCAAAGTGCATCTAACACAAAAGTGTCCTTCATTGAAGGTAAAACCTGCGTCTCCCTCTTTCTTATTCCAATATCTGCTGCGCAGTAATTATGCATGAGTAGTACTCTCAATTATAAAGACCCACCCACAGTGATCTCCACACTAATTAGCACTTTATTTTTGAATTCATTTTAAAATGTTATCGTCTTGCACATGTTACAAGTGTTATACATATATTGAAAGGGAAATCCACAACTTCTATTTTGTGTTTGCACCCACCATGACAATATACCAGAGAGTGTGAGGCCCACCTCCCCATGGGCCACAAGAGAGTTGAAGGGGCGCGTAGTGAAAGAGACGTGAGGCAAAGGTACTGCATGAGGTGAAAGTAACAGGTGCATGCTGGTTTTTTTCTAAAAGCAAAGTGAAGTTAGTTATAATGGTTTGGTTCAATGATTTGGCACGTTCATTTGGAGCTGCAGCAGTGGCTGTGACACACATGGTGGCAATTAATGCACTTTAAAAACTTTTTATTTGAAACATTTTATTGAAACATTTGATTTAAATCTTGTGTAGGTGGTGTAGGTCTAGTTAGAGAGATATTTTAAGATTATTATGGTCTCCATTCAGGCTCGTGACAGATTTTCAGGTGAATCCATTTGAAAGACAGGGAGCTCTTCTTTTGAATTTACTTTGGCCCTATGGAGGCATAAATAATAAAATGTGTGGTGGGGCGGCAGTAGCTCAGTGTGTAGGGACTTGGATTGGGAACCGGACCAAATCGCTGGTTCAAATCCCACAGACCACAAAATATGGAGTGTGGACTGGTAGCTGGAGCGGTGCCAGTTTCACCTCCTGTGCACTGCCAAGGTGCCCTTGAGCAAGGCAACGTAACCCCAAAACCTGCTCATGGGGTGCCAGTAACGTTGCAGCCCCATCGCTCCACCATCTCTCTCCCCTTTGCATGTCCACAAGTGCATCGTGTGTGTGTGTGTGTGTGTGTGTGTGTGTGTGTGTGTGTGTGTGTGTACAAAAAAAGAGTGAAAAGAACAATTACCCCTAGAGGATCAATATAGTATATCTTCTTCTTCTTTCTTCTTCTTCTTGTTGGAAATGTTTTCTGTAAGTATTTCTGTATTTTCTCTTTCTTTTTCAACCTTTTCTTGTTTTTATGACTCATTGGTCCTCCGCAAGGACAAGACCTATGTCATATCACACACATTCCTCTCCCTCTGTTATACCTTTAGCGCACACAATTGCAGAAAACACACATACACCTCAATCAGATCATAGGGTTTGTAATGAGACGCAAGCTTCTAGCAGCATCCCACCATGTGCGTCTGTGTGCATATTATGATTTGCATTGTTATTGGCGCTGTGTGTACTCTATGAATGCCAATGTGTCACAGTGCATATCTGCACATAGTCGCTACACATTCTCTTGTAGTCCCTCTCGCTCATACCTGCAGTTTCCTCCCTCTGTTAGTATCTCAGCCAATCTCCATCACACCATGCATCGTCAGTGGGAGGGAGAGGGGAGAAAAGGGGGAGGGAGGGACAGAATCACGGAGAATAAAAGAGGAGGAGAGATGGATGGAGAAACACAGGCATTAAGAATGAGATGTGAGAAATGGAAAGAGGGAGAGAGAGTGACTGACACAAGTGAGCTAAAAGAGGAGAAAGAGAGAGGAGAAGTGTGAGATAGGAGACAGGTGAAGGAGAGCATAACTGGAATAAAAGAGAGACAGATGAAAGAAGGTAGCATTGGAGGAAAGGACAGGTGAGACAGAGCGTGTGTGCGTGTGCGTGTGCGTGTGCGTGTGCGTGTGTGTGTGTGTGTGTGTGTGTGTGGCACAACTGACAGTAAGTATCGGAGACAGAATGGCGAGTGACATCCTCTGTGGGACTGAATTAGCACTCATTCTGTGTCTCTCAGTGTCTGCCTCCTTCTTTGATTCTCTCCTTACTGTATCTCACCATCTATACAGCTTTGTCTCTACACTGCAAAAACACATGCAACAAACAGATGGTGCACTCATATTCAGTATTTCAGTTTTCATCACACCCACACTAATGCAACTAATTAGAAAGCAGTGCCCATATCTAAATCCATAAAGTTTGGGAAATTGCTAGAGACAAAAAAAAAAAGAGATGTACCAGAGGCAAAGATATCTTTGCTTTTAGTCCTTGCACAGGCCAAGGTCCCAAAAAACATTTCCTATAATGCTACTTGATGGCCTATTTCTTTTTGTTAGACCCTACTTGCCTATATCTTTCAAACTCCACACCTCCACTTTGTAACACAGCTTTTCTGTTAAAAAAGTGATTTTCTCAGACTTGAGTTATACCACAGTTATACAAGCCAAGTAGTAGTCCCTCTGGCGAGGAAACTTAAAAGCGGTGGAGTGTCACAGCTTTCCAAGTATAAGTATTTGCTGGCTTTCATTCATTTCATACCGCTGCAAATTTAATACTTCCATTTTTGACTGTTGGCCAAACATTACAACAAAATAAAGCAGTTTAAAGATATCACTTCAGGCTCTGGAAATTGAGGTGGTAACGATGTAAGTTAAATACATTACGTAAGTTAAAACAAGTCAAAGTTGACTTTTTGTTTCACGCGGGACATGAACAGTGGAAAGTCGTGTGTTTGAGCCATGTATCCAGCTCGACCTCCTCCCTACGTGGACTTTGTTGCTCTTTATGCTACGTCACCTGACGAACTAAATGGCATGCAGAAAAAGCAAAGTAAAACGCATTGTGAAAACAGACAAAATGACTGAAGACATTAGCGTGTTTATATGCCATTTGTTGATAGCAGGCCTGACGGAGATCTGCACTCTTCTAGTTCATACATGATTTTAAATATTTAATAGTACATTAAAGGACTGCTGATTATTACCTTTTACAGTGTATCTCTTTATCTGTCTCACTTTCTGCCTCTCGCTCTGTTGCCCCTGACAGCCATATTCAGTTTCTCCTCCTCCCCTGCTTTGTACTGTCATTCATCATCAGTGTCATTCAGTTTTCCCCTTCCACATGGCACAACATCTGTTTGGGAGTGTTGCACTTGCCCTGTTGAAAAGGATTCAGACAAACTGTGTGATGAGAATCCTGGAAGCAGTGTCACCTCTTTATGTCTGGTGTCAATTCACGTGCCAACCCCTGAATGCAGAATGTGTGTGCTGTGTCTTTATGAACTAGCCACATCTCGAGAGCTGGGCAGAGGCTTCATTGTTTAATTTTTTCATTTGTTTTTACACGTATAGAGACCTTTCTCGCAGACTTGTGATATCTGGAAGAGCACATTAGTAGGTAACGACATTAGTGATTGCTTTAATGAATTTGGATGTCACAGTAAGTCATGATAATGAGCATCCATCATACAGGGTCCTGGAACCTGAACCCTCAACTGGAATGCAGTGTTAGATCTCCCTGCTTATTCATATCGAACCTTTCAATAAATGTCTCAATCCCATTTGATAAAATTGAAAATAACAACAAGGGAAGTCTAGCAAGATGTTTAATTAACAAAGCCCACATTTTAGTGAAACAAAAACATTTAATACACTGATGAATTAAATATTTCAAAACAATCAGAACTGCAAACAATTTCAGTTTCATTATTGATTAATCTAGCGATTTTTATTTATCTTTTTTTTTTTTTTGATTAATGGATTGCTGCTCACAAGTTACCAGAGACATCTCCAAATGTCTTGTTTTGTCAAACCAACGGTCAAAAATGTAAAAAGATATTAGGTTTACTGTCACAAGACTGAGAACCCCAGAAAAAATGCTTTTACCATTAAACAACTGCTCTAGTAACCATTCATTGTGGTTTTCATCCTCAATTTCTTAATGAATTTTGAGGAAAAAAGTCTGATTGTTTCCGGGGGCATATCAGTTTGACCAGTTGTAGTCACTGCAGCAAGAGGGATTTTATTCATGCGTAGTATGTGCTTTCACAGGGACCTATTTTCTTTTATGCTTCTACTGTAATGGATGTGTGCCCTACTCTGCAGTGCAAATCTGTGCAATATGAATCACTTAATGATGGATTGTTTTGTCATGTTAAGTGTGTGTGTGTGTGTGTGTGTGTGTGTGTTGTGGTTGTTTGTCTAAAACTGAACCTGGTGTACTGAATTGCTTTGAAGAGCTGTTCTTTTGATATGGGAGGCTCTGTCCCCAGTTTGTACATTAGATGAAGCCTGCATGGCATTATGATAATAATAATTAATAGCGATGGAAATCAGTGGAGAAAATGATACTTCAAGTCAACTGATATTATTAAAAGGCATCAAAGAGACAAGTGCTGCTTGGATGTGTGTTTGCTCGTAGGAAACAAGCAGGTGTTTCTGTGATCCGGCTCACACATAGGACAACAAAAAAAAAAAAAAAACAGCAATTTTCTTTGTTGCCAGAAACTGTGCTGCGCTCAAAGTCGACTCCAGAACAAATCCGTGGCATTCTTATGGAGTGAAAATATTAAAATAGCACAGTTTTAGAAAACAAAGGATCACGCTTCCCACTGCTTCAATCCAGCGTTGTTGCTCCGCGATCTAATTCTCTGTGTCTCTTTCTGGCAGATGGTGATGGCTACCAGGACCACCTCCTCCCCGTGTGTTTGGATGACGGCTGTAAAAACAGTACCATCTATCTGGCCAAGTCAGGCTCAAAAGAGGTACATAATACACACACATGGCGGTACTGGCAGTGTTAGAAGTCACTCTAATGGATTAGATGGTTTACTGCTCACCCATTTTCGTATTTATCACTCTTCTACCTGTACTTTACTTTTCTGTTCTACACCACTCTGCTCTACCTACCTTCCACTCAAATCTGTCAGGCTCTGGGACACCTCTTTGTTGCACTTCTTTTGTCTTCTGATTTGTTCAACACTGCTCTACTCGACTGTCCTCTTTTCCACTAGTTTTTTTTTTTCATGCTCAGAAAACTAAGCGTGGCTATATGGAATTGCTGTCACTTTTACTGTATGCATGACACAAACTGTACATAGTTATTAGTTATTATTCCCCTGGTCCTACACAGTGTTTAAACTCCCCCTGCCCTCAAGCTCCCAGTCCCGGTACAGACAGCTAACTAGCTAGTGGCAGCAGCTACCACAGTTAGCTTGTGCAGCAGTGCATTGGTAAGTGACTCAGTGTGAAAAGGCGCAGCTCCTGAAAGTTTGACGTTGTTTTTGTTTTTCTGCGACTATCCAACTAACGAAAGTGCCTCGACTCTGACTCTTCTCAGCAACGGTTAAGTCGACTAGTCAGGGACAGACCTAGTAGTTATAGCTATTAATGTAAGATTGTATAGTCAGGTAAAATGCTGTTGAGTTATTATTAGCTGAACTACTTATGCATTTACACTTCTTACAATAAACCTCCCTCATTCATTCCTTTATCATAACTTTGATTGTATATTTTAAAAGTCTTGAAAATAGAACATCCTTTTGGGTGGCATATTCGCTTTTTCTCACTCGTTTTCAGAAATGTGTGCTTACTATACGACATAGATAGAGTTGATCAAACATTATTTAGTAAAAAGATACTTTATTATGAAGACCTACAGAATTAAGGTTTATGTACAGTATGTGTACTTACTGTACTTATGTAGAAGGTTGGGACTGTGGGTTAGGAAGATATGGAAATTTCAGAGGAAAGACTGCCTCTAACTTTGTTGTCATACTTATTGGACCTTATAAATGGCAAATGTACTGTACTTACATAGCACCTTTCTAGTCTTTCGACCACTCAATGCGCTGTACACTACATGCCACACTCACCCCTCTGTACACAGTCATACACTGATGGCAGTGGCTGCCATGCAAGGTGCCAACTGCTCATCAGAATGGAAACTAATCATTCATACACACTCCTACACCGATGCACAGCATCGGGAGCAATTTGGGGTTCAGTATCTTGCTCAAGGACACTTCGACGTGCAGCAGGGGAGCCGGGGATCGAACCACCAACCTTCCGATTGTTGAACTGAGCCACAGCCTGACCTCTTCTCCAAGATTTATTTGCAGGATGGTAATTGCACTCATGACCAAAAGATTATTTCTGGAAAGAGCCGTGTCAATCTGGCCCACTCCGTTCTCCTTTATGTTCTTTATCAATTATTAGAGCTCCTCTGAGTGGTTTCATTGCAATGCCATAGCTCCGCTTTCTCAGTACAATGGCTGTCTATTTCAGGAAGGCATTAAACACATGGCTCACTGCAGGGGGGTTCTTGCTAAGAAAGGCATCCGTTGATCCAACGGGTGTCACTGTGTTTGCAGTGCCATGCGAGACGGGAGTAATGGATATGAACACACACATTCAGTCCCATCCGATTAATGTACACACACAGAAGCAAATATGTATGTGCATGGACATGTTTACTCGGAGTTGCTCTTACACTCACATGAACACACACATACCTCCATATCTCCACCACCACCACCTACGTACCATCTTGTATGAGGCTTTTCAGTTGCATCCTACCATTTGGCAGGATGCTCCTCTCCTTTTTTTTCTCTCCTTCCTCTGCCACCAGAGAACTAGCTTCCACTTTTTTCTTTAGTCCAAAATAGAAATATTACAGGCTTATCTGCATGTCCGCCCCCACACACGTGCACACAAAAGACGCACGCGGAGACACACAGATGCACACTCCCTGTGGACATGCCTTCTTTTGTTTGCCTGTCAGCAACAAAAAAAAAAAAATGATTGAAGAGAGGAGTGAAAGGAGGAGTGCTGAAGGAAGGGGAGGGGAGGCAAAGAGAGGAGGACTTATCTGCACTGATGGATGAAGTGAACACATGTTGTGTTCCGTGTCGCTATGTGTTTGAGAGACAGTCATCACTGTCAAAGAGAGGGAAGGGTGGGCAGAGTGAGGAGGAAACCAGAGTGTCTCTAAGCTTCTATGCTTTCATGGAATGATGATAATAATATACAGTCATAATGATAACCTTTTTCAACTGACACCAACACACACATGAAGGTTGTATGTAGATGTACGTTGCAGTATTGATCCCATCAGTACATTCTTTGTGGTGTAAACTCTCCCTGAGCCATAATTATGCTTGATCTTATACCAGGTGTGTGGTGTGTGGTGTGTGGTGTGTGGTGTGTGTGTGTGTGTGTGTGTGTGTGTGTGTGTGTGTGTGTGTGTGTGGACATTGGAGCAGCTATAGTCAGCAGATGTCACCCCTAGAGTTATCTTCCCACAGAGAAAGTGGAGGGAGAGATGGCGGAAGGGGGATGAAGGGAGACAAATGGAAAGAACAGAGAGCTTGATGCAAGGAAGGAAGAACATGGAAAAATAGTGGAAGGTAGGGAGGAAGAGGAGGTGGGGCGAAAGGAAGATTGGAGGAAGGAAGGAAGGAAGGAAGGAAGGAAGGAAGGAAAAAAAAGCAATTCCTGTTTTCCCTTCATTGCCACTTCGAGAGGAACATCCTATCACAGGGAATGAGGGTGGTAGAAGCAGAAAGGAGGAATGGAGAGTGAATAAAACAAGTGATATGTATACGGGCAAAGAAATGATGAGATGCCTTTGGGTGTGCAAGGAAGTCCCGCTGAGTAGAAACTAGTGTGTGTCTGTAGTTCATCTCCAAACAGCAATTCAGTCCTTCCTTCTTGTGGTCTGGGCCACAGCTCTGCCTCTACAGAGCCTCTGCAGCAGCTCCAGGCCTTTAGTTCACCATATTGGAAGAAACCACAGGGGGCTTGCAACAATCTCTCTACTTCATCCTCTGGCCTTACACACACGCATGCGCGGATCACACTTATTGTACTTTGGACCTCCCTTTTTGTGTGCCCACATTCTGTAACACAATTGGATATTACTGCAGAGAATAATGTAATTGTGTGTCTGTGGGTGTTACACCTGTCAAGTAAATTGTATCAATCTATTTTCATTAGCTGGACGGATGGACCCCTGAACGTCAGGGAGACAGAGAACACTTCCACAAGAACAAGCACAGAACCCATCCAGCCGTCCGTATATTTAAGACCATGGCTCATTTCCAACTGCGTGCAGCAAAATGTATATGGTAGAGCTGAGCGATATTGATAAATAACATCTCAATATTTTTATGCCTTGATGAAATAGCTTTACAAATGGACTTTTCTAATCAGAACAATAATTCAGACTAACCACCCTTTAATTAATGTCATTAGATTTACACAGACCATTACAGACATTCTATTATTGAAGATGTTTTAGACTTCTTATCATTTTCTAGACTTAATAGAATTTAAATACAGAGTTAAAATAATCAGGTTCATTATAAATAGTTGTGTTACATTGCAGAATACTGTAAAGTTCTGCAAAGAAGAAGAAAAATTACCTTATGAATCCCCCTTGGGGGAAATACATTTTTTTCTCTCCATTGTTATTATTATGCACATGAAGTATGAAGTACACATGCACGCGCAGGACCCAACACTAAATTTATCCAAGCATTTCTTCATCAATTAATACATGTATATAGCTGGACCTGCCTTGTTCTCCCTCTTTCCCAGAGTACATTAACTACTGCTGCTGTAATGCCAACAATGAAGTGCATGTTGAACTTCAGAGAATTTGCAAGGGATGAACAATTCATCAAGTGCACCTTACCTGCTCTCATTCTCTCTCACACATAATACCAGCAAAGTCGCATGATATGGGATATTCTATTGAGGAGGCCATCATTTTACTATAAAAATGTATATTTTATGTGAGGAGGAAGAAGAAAAGGTGGATATTCTCTCACCTAAACACTTAAGTACAATGCACTCCAGTGTAACACTTCAGTTAGTAATCCAGTTTATGATATGCTGGTCAGTCTGGCACTTAATACAATAAATGGTGGTCTGCTGTACTGGATCGTATTGGCTTCCTTCCATCTGCGCTTAAAAGTAAATACCATAAATGACCAAATAGATATGCAGAAGAATAAATAAAATCACTCTGATACAGTGTATATCAGCCTAATTTTCTATCTCAACAGTACTACAAATATTCTCTGTATCTTCCTCCGCTAAGTGGTATCATATATATGTATATATATAGAGAGAGAGAGACACTGTGAATGAAAGCAGGAGAAGTTAAGTCTGTTTATAGTGAAAGATCTGCAGTGGGGCATAGGCGCTGAGTGAAGGCTGACGCAGCGTTCTCTCACACTGTTAACCTAGCTTCAGTGAGTGAGTGACCCTAAATGGCAACTGTTTGGCCACAGGCCACATCCCCTTGCTCTGTGGCAAACAGAAACAGTCAAGAATTGATTTTCTTTTGAGATTTTTCTTTTGTTTTATCGTGCTAGCTAATGTTGACTATATTTTATGACAAAAACAAAGAAATCCTACAAAGATATTGTGGACTTACTAATGCCCTTGCATTAGCACTTAATATAATGTGTACATTTTAATTCATTTAAGAATTTTCGTATTTTTTAACAGACTTACCTCCCTATAGAGCAAGTATAAAACGATGTATTGATTTATCAATTCTGTAGGTGTGTGTTAATTGTGCGTTAATTTTTTTTGTATGGACATTTAAAACCTTCCTTATATACACATGCACACATGCAAAACACACATACCGCCCCCATGAAGACCAAGCCAGCTGCCTACTGTTGCTGCCCAGACAGTGTAAGGGCAGCCAGTGTGAGCCAGACAGCCTCCTCCCAACCATCTCAGTCAGCTG